AATGACCACGAATAGCCAAAACAATCCTTAGCAAAAGAAACAAAGCAGGAGGTATCACACTTCCAGACTTCAAACCTTACTATAAGGCTACAGTAATCAAAGTAGCTTGGTATTGGTACAAGAACAGGCACATAGACCAATGGAACAGGATAGAGATTCTGGAAGCAAAGCCTAAATTCCTCAACCAACTCATCTTGGACAAAGCCTCCAACAACAACCATTGGGGAGAGGAGAACCTATTCAGTAAATGGTGCTGGGAAAACTGGCTGACCACATGCAGAAGATTGAAGCAGGACCCTACCTATCACCATACACAAAAATCAACACTAAATGGATCAAAGACCTAAACATAAAACCTCAAATTATAAGAATCCTAGAAAGCGCAGGAGATACCCTTATGGAAATTGGAACCGGGAACCAATTCCTATTCAGAACCCTAAAGGCAAATTCTGATTTCTTAATCAGACAAGTGGGACTTCATCAAATTAACGAGCTTCTGCAAAGCAAAAGAAACCATCAAAAAGCAGGGAGACAGCCCACAGAATGGGAAAAAATATTTGCCAACTGTTTATCTGACAAAGGCCTAACGTCTAGGATCTACAAGGAACTCAAACGCGCCGAGAGGAAAAAAACAAATAGCCTCTTTAAAAAGTGGACAAAAGACGTGAATAGACACTTCTCAAAATAAGATATACGGGCAGCCAACAGACACATGAAAAAGTGCTCAGCCTCACTCATCATCAGAGAAATGCAAATCAAAACTACATTGAGATACCACCTAACCCCTGTAAGAATGGCCATCATTAATAAAACAAACAACAACAAATGCTGGAGAGGATGCAAAGAAAAAGGAACTTCACTGCTGGTGGGAATGCAAACTAGTGCAAACTCTTTGGAAGACACTGTGGCAATTTCTGAAAGAACTAGAAATCAATCTTCCATATGACCCAGCAATTCCCCTATTGGGAATATACTGGAGGAACTTAAATTATTCTATGAAAAAGATACCTGCACACATATGTTTGTTGCAGCTCTATTTACAATAACAAAAACATCGAATCAACCATGTTGCCCATCAAAGCTGGACTGGATAAAACAAATGTGGTACATATATACAATGGAATATTATGCAGCCATAAAGAAGGACAAATACATGAACTTTGCAGCAAATTGAAAGGATTTGGAGTCAATCATACTCAGTGATTTATCACAGAAATAAAGAACTGAGTTCCATATGTTCTCACTCATAACATGAACTTGAACAATTATTATGCTATAAGAAAGTGATTGGTAGTAGTGGAAAACTGTCAAGGGAGGGGAGGTGGGACTGTCAGTTGAGGAAAACTACTAGGGGAGGGAGGAGCATATCTCATCAACAAGGGTACCTGCATGATCAGTGTTTGTATACCTAAACCTGAATTGTACCCCACATCTTTATAATGAATAAATAAATTTTTAAAAAGAAAAAGAGAGAGAAACATCTCTCAACACCACAGACTGTTTCAATAATGAATGATATTGGCAGTCTATGAACTGACATTCTTTTTTTTTTTTAATTTTTTGAGTAGACATCACTGCTAAGTTAAGTCACATAACAGAGTTAGAAAACAAATAAGCACTTAACAAAGTCGTCCCCCCCTCACCCCAACACGCACTTTGGTCTTTGGAAGGCTACAAAAACATAGTCCAAAGAAAAAGGCCAGGTTCAGTGGCTCATATCTGTAATCCCAGCACTTTAGCAGGCTAAGACGGGAGGATCACTTGAGGTCAGGAGTTCAAGACCAACAGGAGGATCACTTGCGGTCAGAAATTCAAGACCAGCCAGACCTTATCTCTACTAAAAACAAAAAATTTTAAAAACAGCCAAGCACAGTTGTACACACCTGTAGTCCCAGCTACTTGGGAGGCTGAGGCACAAGGAGCATTTTATCCCAAGAGTTTGAGTCTGTGGGGAGCTATGATCATGCCACTGCACCTCAGCTTGGGTAACAGAGCAAGACACTATCTCTGGAAAAAAATCTGATTTTGTTCTTTTTTATGACTGCATAGTATTCCACCATATTAAGTACCACATATACTTTATTTAGTCCACTTTCAATGAGTCTTTGTGTTGTTTCCATGTTTTTGCTATCGTGAATAGTGCTGCAATAAGCACACATGTGCAGGTGTCCTTCGGGTAGAGCAGGGTCACTGCCACCACTGTGCTGTGAAGAGGACCCTGACTCTTAGATCTGACCTTGCCCTGTTGGAGAGGCTATGGCCACAATAGCAGCCTCCTGAGAATAAGCTGCTTCTGCAGCCCTGACCTAGGGTAGCAACAGCTGCTGGCATCAGAGAAACTTCTATGAATTGATAGCATAGCCTCTGCTGAGTGCTGGGGAGGGTGAGAAGGAGGAGATGCTCCCATTTGGCAAATATCACCTTTTCAGGGTGATTCCCATTGAGCCCTCCGTGAGGCGGTTGGCAGCCACAGGCTCCATGTGGCACCTGCTGGTGCCTCTTTCTCCATTTAGGGCAGCCCTCTGTGCCATACCAGTGCAGGAGGGGCTGGGTGTGACGGGGGAGTTCATGGGCTGTCTCTTCTTTGGCTAAGACTGCAGAGGCACACAAGAGATGTTTACAGAAGAAAAGTTATCCTTTTCACTCACAACTTCTGTTTCCTGCAACTCTCTTCTGCTCTTATCAAGGCCATCTCTGGTCACAGGACTTAGAGTTGCTCATCTCCACATCCTCAGGTGACCATCTGATAGACCTCAATTCGAGTTTTCAGATCAACCCTCAGAATCCTAGGTCCACTCATCCATATATATGAATGAGTTGTTTTATATGTGTGTGTGTGTGCGCGCGTGTGCTTCTTTGCAGAGAGCTACAATTGTGTGATGTCTGCAGTCAGCCATCTTGGCCCTCCCCCACACCATAAATTCAAAAATAAATTGCAGTTCCTTTAAAATACTAAAAGCAGAAATTTTAACACTCAGACATGAAAATATACATAAATATATATTTGTTGTTTCTGATCAGGGAAGATTTTCTAAAATAAGACATAAAAGACCAAACCATAAAGAAAAACATTATGAATTATGAATTAACTACATTAAGGATAAAACCTTCCATTTATCAAAAGATACCACAAATAATGATTTCTACAAATGTATCCAGCAAATAAGTAAATAATATGGATATGTACCATGAGCTTAGTACAGGTATATTCACCAAAGTATTATTTATAACAACGTAAGAATTTCCAGAGAAGCCCTCAAAGCCAGAAGCAATACAGTAGGAGTCAAAGCACTGCACACTCATGCCTCTATGGCCCTGCCTTCATAAGCCAATCACTACCCTTTCCACCAAGTATGTAGAAGAAGAGCTGCAAGATGCTGTAAGGGTTTTTTTGGGGGGGATTTTGTAAAGGTTGTTTCAATTACTGAGTGGAATATTACCACTGCACACTCTTCAAAACAGAAGACCCACTGGCAAAACATCGCATTTGTCCTCCAGAATTTGAAGGACGTAGGGACTGGTGTCTCACATGCTCAAGAAAATTTCAAGTGGAAAGAGCTGACGGGTGACCAAATTACAAGAGAAAATGCTTTGTTGGTATTCTGAACTTTCAGAATCTGATGAGGCAGTCTTGAGTGTGTGTATTTCTAGTTGATATGAGCTAAATTATACCCTCTCAAAATTTGTCTTTTGAAGTACTAACCTCCAGTACCTCAGAATAGTACTGAACTTGGAGAAAATATCTTTAAAGAGATAAAATTAAATCATTAGGGTAGGTACTAATCCATGTGACTGATGTCTTTATAGGAAGAAATTTGGGTACAGACATGCCCAGAGAGAAAATCATGTAAAGACACAAAGAGAAGACAGCTATTTACTTACAAGCCAAGGACAGAAGCTTCAGGGGAAGAAAATGTGCTAACACATTGATCTCAAATTTCTGGCCTCAAAAACCATGAAGAAATAAATTTCCATTTTAAACTACCCAGTCTAGTGTGTTTGTTATGGCAGCCCCAACACACTGGAGTGTGGATGTGGACGTCATGGAAGTGAGCAACTTGTGAACTGCACCCAGGAAGGTCACTATAGGTGGATAAAGGATCCCCACAGTAGGAATGGGAGAGGAGTAGAGAGGTATAAACATAAAAAAAAATAGACTTTGGAGTACTCCAGCAGTGCACAATTTTCTAGTAATCCATGAAAAAACCCTACAAGAAAAAAAGTAAGCTTGCCATCTGCCATAGAAAAAGCACCAATGCCAAATTACAACTGTAAAAACTGAGTAAAAACCTTTCTGTCCTCTTAACTCTCATTCCTCGCCTAAGCTCTTTACCCTAGAAAGGGGTGCAAGTTAAATTAGTGAAATCTGTTGAAAGAAAAATGGAAAAGTCAACCATGCATCCTTTCTCATTACAGGTTGCCCACGCTGAAGTAAACCTGAACTAGGGAAGGGAGGAGCTTTAAATTTGGCAGAGATTGGAGATGTGATACTAGAGTAAGCCAGACTTTTTATAACCATCAGGAGAAAGTGGTAGGAAACCATAGGAGGACATCCCAGAAGTGAAGGAAAAGGTAGGGAAATATATCTTGCCTAAGAGAGTGTGTTAACAAGGAGTGACAAGAAAGCCTGAAGAGACTTCCTGCTGCAACTAAGCAAGGCTGTAACTTTATTAAGCCAGAATAGGCCCAGGTGCAGTGGTTCATGTCTATAATTCCAGCACTTTAGGAGACCAAAGCAGGAGAAGTGCGTGAGTCCAGGTGTTCGAGACCAACCTGGGCAACATAGCAAGACTTCATCTCTGCAACACACACACACACACACACACACACACACACACACACACACAAATTAGCCAGGCATGGTGGCACACACCTGTAGTCCCAGCTACTCGGGAGGCTGATGCAGGTGGATCTCCAGAGCCCAGGAGGTCAAGGCTGCAGTGAACAGTTATTGTGCTACTGCATTCCAGCCTGGATGACAGAGTGGGACCCCCTGATTTTTTTTTTTTTTTTGTAATCCTTTATTGTTTTTGAACAAACGGCCCCAGGGATAGGGGACCAGGGGAAGGGGAAGGAGGGGAAGCAAGGCTCCAGGCCCACAACTGCTCCTCACCCACCCCTTTCCCCCTTATATATTTATAATCCATATACAAGCCCTGGGGGATAGGGGCCAAGAGGAACTTCCTCAGCGGGGTGGGGGCAACCCAGGCTCCCTGTCCCCTCGGGACCCAGGATCCTCTATGTGTCGGGAAGGTCCTTCTCGAGAAGGGGGCCCTGTCCGCTCCCAAGGCTTCGGCATCCAGTGCAGGGCATCCGGTGGGGAGGCCTGCTGGTAAAGGTCAATGCGCTGGGTGCGGAAGACTCCGCTGTAGGCGGAAGGTGGAGCCTTGAGATGGGTATTGAGGCCAGAAAATGACCTTCCAGTTGCGAGGGTACGCGATGATCCAGGTATCCCAAGGTTGCTGCTCAGTTTTCGATAATCCTGGAATGGCTTTAGTTCCAGTGGGTGCAGCTCTGCTCGCCCCAAACTAGGGGGAAAGGGCCTGGCAGGTGAAGGCAGCACCCAAGTAGCAGGAGCAGGTGGGGGCCGCACAGCCAGGCTGGGGGACTGCAGAGCAGGGCCCACAGGTAACAGAGAAAGGGGAGGTGGGGCAGCTGGAGGCGTAGAAAAATAATAAATACCAGGATAGCACACATCACTAATATAAGAGACTTATAATTAATAGTTCAAATCAACATCCTTTCCAGAATAAATAACAAAAAAAAAACAAACGGATCCTGAATACTCTACCTCCCAACTCTTCTCTTGATTCACACATTCCTTCACTTTTTATTCACTCAAATAGTTTTGTTGTTGTTGTTGTTGTTGTTTGTTGTTTGTTTTTTGTTTTTTGAGTTGGAGTCTCACTCTGTCGCCCAGACTGGAGTGCAGTGGCCGCTCCCGGCCATCGCAGCCTCGACCTGCTGGGCTCTGGTGATCCTTCCACCTCAGCCCTCTGAGTAGCCAGAATTACAGGCACGCGCTACTACTACACCCGGCTGATTTTTTGATTTATTGTAGAGCTGAGGTCTCGCCAAGTTGCCCAGGTGGGTCTCGAACCCACGGGCTCAGGCAATCCACTCACCTCAGCCTCCCAATAGTTTTTTAGTATGTTCTGTGTGCTAGTCACTATACTGGGCTCTGGCAATTCAATGGTGAGTAAAATGTATGCCCTTAATGATTCCAGAATGTTACAGTGAGGTGGAATGATCATTATTACCATACAAGCGGGCCTCTGAAACAGCAAGGAAGATACATAGGCTGCTCTCAAAGCCAGGATTGATAAAATCAACTCCTACATCCTTTTCATTATTATACTTTGATTTTTATTTGCTTTGAAAAAATATTAGAATTGAGTGTTAGCAGAACCTTTCTCTATAATAGAGTTGAAAGGCTGAAAAAGGCTTTCTGTGTTCTGTGCCATGATCTATATATGTACTCCCAGTTATATAAGCACTTTCCAAAGACGGTTTCTTCATCTATACAATGAAGTGTTTAGGGTAAATTGCTAAGACTTTCTCAAACACTATTTTTTAATCCTAACAAATAAATTGTAAAATTTGATAAATTGATCCAAAAACTAACACTAAAATTTTAACTTTTAAGATATTGTTGCTGGGTCAAAAATTTCATTAGAACTAAGATAGGCAAACATAGCAAGTGACTATTCACAACTTTATATTATAAAATAAGAGTGCAAGTGACATCAGGTTAAAATTTCGGAACCAATGCTAAGATACATTATTATTTCCTTGTAGCCCATTAAAAACATGAAATTACATTGACTGCATTATTCTAAGGCTATTAATATTAAGACTATATTTTGTCTTTAGCCATAATCATTTTGGTGATTATTGTTGCCTCTGCAAATATTCTTTTACAACTCTAAATTTACTTTATTATTATAGCTATAACTATGATTATGATTATCAGTCCTTTAAATAGGATACTGGAAGATACTGGCTACCAAAGAGAAAAATTTTCAATTGTATCTGTATAAACCCATTGTTATTCTCTAAGGCCTATTAAAGAGACACATTAAGTACTTATCGGAAGGTCTTATGCTGAGAATGGATAGTTACCCTTTTTGGTCCCTTGATGATCTAAACACGTTTTAGAAAAAACAGAAACTAAACTATTTATGGAGCAATATTTTTTCTTTCTTTCAGCTCACCAGTCCTCTTCCTGCTGAGTGGTATATGGCTAATGGTACAAGCTAGTAACTATTTAATAAATAATACTGAATAAATTAGTAAAAGGGTAGCACAGAAAGCATACCCTAGGGAACACTGGTTCATTCGACAATTTAGTGTCACTGGTTTAGGGAAAAGGATTCAGCGTTTATATTTTCATTCGTCAATCCTTTAGTTCATTAAGTAGTATTTACTCAATATTAAAGTGGGCTGATTATCCAAGAAAATACAGAAATTATTAAAACAAAGTTTTTCTTAGCTTAAGGAACTTTTAAAGCAAAGAAATGTAAAAGTGCAATGCTGTCATTGCTGTGACACAAATGCATAGCTTCCAAAAGTAAATGTTACTAATGCTGTTCCTGTGGGTGTGAGAACACTTAGAAAAGGCACAGGAGAAAATAATTGAAATTGTGTTCTTAAAAGATAGGGAGAATTTCCTACATGAAGTGAAAAGGAAAAATCTGAGCAGAGGGAAGAGAGAATGCAAAAGTGTGGGTTTGTCAAATAACTAATGGTCAGAAATGAAAATCTGAACTCACCTGAAGCTTACTTGGGACCTGGTGTATTCGTCTCTTCAGGCTACCCTAGCAAAATACCATAGGCTGAGTGACAGAAATTTGTTTTCATAGAGCTTCAGGGATGAGAAGTCCCAAATTAAGGTGCCAACTGATTCAGTTCTAGATTAGGGCTCACTTCCTGGCTTGTAAACTGCCACCCTACACCATGTCCTCATGTGTTTCTTCTTATAAGGTCACCAATCTTATTAGATGAGGGCCTCATTTTACCCTACTTACCTTCTAAAGGCCTTACCTCTTATACAGTCACACTGTAAGTTGCAAGGTCAACATATAAATTTTGAGGGAACACAATTCAGTTCATAGCACCTGGGATGAGAGAAAACTATTAATAATCTGAGGCCGATGGGAAAGATTTAGATTCCACCTTTAGTTAAGTAGATTTACCAGTGAGGTAGATTTTAGATGGCTGAAATGTTTATAGGAGAGGAAAACTACCCTACTACTCAAGGTTATACAAATAAGGTGGGGAGATGGAGAGTAAAGAAAAAGTAAGGAGGCAAAGTCAGTAAAACTAGATCAGTTGTGCATAGTTTGTAAGAAAGAGAGAGACACTAAGATGATTTCCAGGTTTCAAGATTGGGATATAGAAGAACCAATGGTTATTATTTTAAGTGAAGTATTAGATGCCAGACAGTTGCAGATATGGGGGAGGGGGGCAGTAAAGGAAGAGAAAGAGAGATGTTGAGCATTTTTTTTTTATTATTTTCTTATAAAAATGTGAGGTGCAAGTCAGGATTAGGTACATAAGTAGTCTACATGTGTGTGAAGCTTGGGCCTCCAACTGGCCTTCACTTCCTCTGGTTTACAATCAGGTACCCTAATGATGTTACGTGCCCTTCCCTCCCAACAGCGTCCCAATATTGTTGATCCCTTTCTTGTAGTCTTGTGATAAATGTTCAGGACCCACATATGAGTGAGAGAGTGTGGTATTCAGTTCTTTGCTTCTGTGATAGAGCACTGAGTATGATGGACTCTAAATCCATCCAATTTACTGCAAAGTCCATAGTGGTTCTTCTTTATGACTGCATAACACTCCATCGTGTATATATACCGCATTTTCTTTATCTAGCCTACGTTTGATAGGCAGCAGGATTAGTTCTACATTTTTTATATTGTGAGTAGTGTTGCAATAAACATGCATGTGCAAGTGTTTGTTTTTGTTTTTGTTTTTTTTGTAGAATGATTTGAGTTCTTCTGGATATATTCTCAGGAGGGGGATTGCTGGGTCATATGGAAGGTCAATTTCTAGTTCTTTAAAAAGCATCACATTTTTTTCCATAGAGGTTGAACTAGTTTGCAATCCCACCAACAGTGTATTAGTGTTCCCTTTTCTCCACACACTCACTGGTATCTGTTGTTTTTTGTTTTATGAATGACGGCCATTCTTAATGGAGTTAAGTGGTATCTCAATGTAGTTTTAATTTGCATTTTTCTGATGATTAGTGAGGCTGAGCTGTTGACTGCTCATATGTCTTCTTCTGACAAATGTCTATTCATGTCTTTGCCCATGTTTTAATAGGGTTGCTTGTTTTTTTTTCTTTTCTGCTTATTTGAGTTCCTTGTAAATCCTGAATGTTAGGCCTTTGTCAGATATACAGTCAGCAAATATTTTTTCCCATTCTGTGGGTTGTCTCCCTAGTCTCTTGATGGCTTCTTTTGCTGTGCAAAAGCTTTTCAGTTTGATGAGGTCCCACTTGTCTATCTTATCTTTTATGGATACGCATTTGGGGTTATGATCAAAAATTGGTTGCTTAATCCAATGTGCATAAGGTGCCTCCTGAATTTTCTTCTAAGATTCTTATAGTTTGAGGTTTTGCATTTAAGTTTGGTAGTGGTCCTGTTTCATTCTTTGGCATGTGGTCAGCCAGTTATTTTAGCACCATTTGCTGAATAAGGTCTCCTCTCCCCAGTGTTTGTTATTGATGGTTATGTTAAAGATGAGTTGGTTGAGAGACCAAGTTTTTGCTTCTGGAATCTCTATCTTGTTCCGTTGGTCTATATGCCTGTTCTTGTACCAATAACAGACTGTTTTGATTATTGCTGTAAAGTGTAAAGTCTGGAATTATGATACCTCCCACTTTGTTTCTTTTGCTGAGGGTTGTCTTGACTATTCTGCTCTTTATTGTTTCCATATGAATTTCTGCATTGTCATTTCCAGGTCTGAGAAGAATGATGCTGATAATTTGATGGGAATTGCATTGAATCTGTAGATGCTTTGGGTAAGATGGACATCTTAACAATGTTGATTCTTCCAATCCATAAGCATGGAATATTTTTCCATTTGTTTGTGTCCTCTTCGATTTCTTTGACCAGTGTTTTATAGTTCGTGTTTTAAAGGTCTTTCACTTCTCTGGTTACGAAGACGCCAAGGCATTTATGTATTTATGTATTTGTGTATTTATTTATTTATTACAGTTATTGTGAATAGAATCGTTCTTTTTATTTGGTTCTCTACCTGTTTGTTACTGGTGCATTAAAATGTCACTGTCTTTTGCACATTGATTTTGTAACCCAAAACTATACCTTGGTCATTAATCAGTGCAAGGAGGTTTTTACCAGACTCCTTTGGGTTTTCAAGGTTTTGGATCATATCATCTGCAAAGAGGGACAACTTAACTTCCTCTTTTCCTATTGGGATATCCCTGATTTCCTTCTCTTGCCTGATTGCTCTAGCAAGGGCTTCCAACACTGTATTGAACAGGAGGAGTGAGAGTGGGCAAACTTGACTTATTCCCCTTTCAGGGGGAATGCTTTCAGCTTCTGTCCATTAAGCAGTATGTTGACTGTGGGGTTTATCATAGATGGATCTTACTGTTTTGAAGAATCTTCCTTCTATGCCTAAAT